TTTTTTTTTTTTTTTTTTTTTTTTTAACGTCTACAACAGGGTTAGAAAAAGGTTCTTGGAACATCGGGAAGAAACCATTACAATAGATCGAGTCTGCAGACAAGAAACATTTGTTTATGAGATGGTAAGTAAGAGTCTCATCTGTTTCACTCTTTTCTCTTATAACAGTAAACTGACATTGTTAGTAATGGTAGTATGGTAGTTTATCCTGGGTATGCTTAGTTGAAAACCAACTAGAGAAACTCCTTTGAATCTGGGAACTAGTGAGTGAAGAGGACCCTTAGAACTCAAGTGACCACATATTTGACTTTTTCAGATCTATGCCTTTATTCTTGCTTGGTTTTGTCTTGCTTTTGGTATTAGGCTAGATTTATGCCTTTTTACTACCCTATTTCTGGTCTTTCTGTTCTGCTCCTGATTTTGGTTTAACCACATTCTTTTTTTAATTTTATTTTTTTATTTATTTTTAAGATGGGGTTTCACTATGATGGCCAGGCTGGTCTTGAACTCCTAACCTCAGGCGATCCACCCACCTCGGCCTACCAAAGTGCTAGGATTACAGGCGTGAGTCACCACGCCCGGCCTAACCACATTCTTAATCCTTATCTGTGATCTCTTGTGTAAAACTCTGGGAAATTTTAAGATGATGACTGTTAAGGAATTAGGAACTAGTAGACACGATGGATCCAGAATCAATGCTCTGGGCACTGTGCTGGCACTTGATCATGCATAAGCGCACCTATTGTCTCTCCCATTTATTTTACTTTTATTGTGGTAAAATTTACGTAACATAAAATTTACCATTTTGATCATTTTAAAGTGTTCAATTAAGTGGCAGTAAGTACATTCACAATGCTATATGATCATCACCACTATTTCCAGAACTTTTTCATCATCCCAAACAAATTCTATACCTATTAAGCAATAACTCACCAGTTTTCCCTCCTGCAGCTCCTGGTAACCTCTATTCTACTTTCTTTCTCTATGAATTTGCCTATTCTAGATATCTCATGTAAGCAGAATGCTTTTTTTGTGTGTATCGGTTTTTTGTTTTTTTTTTTTTTAAAGACAGAGTCTTGCTGCGTCACCCAGGCTGGAGTGCTATGGTGCAATCTCAGCTCACTGCAGTCTCCGCCTCCCAGGTTCAAGCAGTTCTCCTGCCTCAGCCTTCCAGGCGGCTGGGATTATAGGCGCCCGCCACCATGGCTGGCTAATTTTTGTATTTTTAGTAGAGACAGAGTTTCATCATGTTGGCCAGGCTGATCTTGAACGCTTGACCTCAAGCAATCTGCCCACTTCGACCTCCCAAAGTTCTGAGATTATAGCCATGAACCATGGCACCCAGCCTATGGCATATTTTACATAGCATAATGTTGTATAGATTCATCCATATTGTAGCATGTATTAGAACTTCATTCATTCCTCTTTATGGCTGAATAATATCTATTGTATGGATATACCATATTTTGTTCTGTTCATCTGTTTATCTGTTGATGGATATTTGGGTTGTTTCCATCTTTTGGCTATTGTGAATAATGCTGCTATGAAAATTAGTATAAAAATATCTTTTTTTTTTTTGGAGAGACTGTCTTGCTTTGTTGCCCAGGGTAGAGTGCAGTGACATAATCTCAGCTCACCACAACCTCCACCTCCCAAGTTCAAGCATTTCTTCTGCCTCAGCTCCCCAATAGCTGGGATTACAGGCATATGCCACCATGCCCGGCTAATTTTTGTATTTTTAGTAGAGATGGGGTTTCACATGTTGGCCAGGCTGGTCTCAAATTCACGACCTTGTGATCCTCCTGCCTCGGCCTCCTAAAGTGCTGGGATTACAGGTATGATCCACTGCGCCCAGCCTACAAATATCTTTTTAAGTCCTTTTTCAATTACTTTGCTTCTGCACCTAGGAGTGGAATTGATGGGTTGTATGGTTAATAATGAGAAACCTGTTTTCCATAGCGACTACACCATTTTACATCCCCATTAGTAATGCTTGAAGGTTCCAATTTCTCCATGTACTTGTGAACACTTATTTTCTAGTTTTTTTTTTTTTTTTTTTTTTTTTTAGTAGTAGCCATCCTAGTGGGCATGAAGTGATATCTCGTGATTTTGATTTGCATTTCCCTAATAACTAGTGATGCTGAACATCTTCTTATTTGGTTTTTGGCTGTCTGTATATTTTTTTTGAAAAGGTCTATTGAAGTATTTTGCCCATTTTCTGTTTTTTTTTTGAGACGGAGTCTCCCTCTGTCCCCAGGTTGGAGTGCAGTGGCATGATCTCGGCTTACTGCAACCTCCGCCTTCCAGGCTCAAGCAATTCTCCTGCCTCAGCCTCCCGAGTAGCTGGGACTACAGGCGCGTCCTACCACGCCTGGCTAATTTTGTATATTTTTAGTAGAGATGGGGTTTCACCATGTTAGCCAGGATGGTCTCCATCATCTGAACTCATGATCCACCCGCCTCGGCCTTCCAAAGTGCTGGGATTACAGGCATGAGCCACCAGTCCCGGCCTTGCCTAATTTCAAGTTGGGTTGTTTATCCTGTTAAGTTATAAGAGCTCTTGGCTGAGTGTGGTGGCTCATGCCTATAATCCCAGCACTTTGGGAGGCCAGCCCGGCCAAAAAAGAATAAAAAAGTGTTCTTTGTATATTCTGGATACTAGACCCTTACCGTATATATAATTTAAAAATATTTTCTCTCATTCTGTGTATTGTCCTTTAACTTACTTTTTTTTGTTGTTTTTTGTTTTTTTTGAGACGGAGTTTTACTCTTGTTGCCCAGGCTGCAGTGCAATGGTGTTATCTCAGCTCACCACAACCTCCACCTCCCAGGTTCAACTGATTCTCCTGCCTCTGCCTCCCAAGTAGCTGGGATTACAGGCATCCACCGCCATGCCTGGCTAATGTTTGTATTTTTTTCTTTTTTGAAACAGGGTCTCGCTCTGTTGCCCAAGCTGGAGTGCAGTGGCACGATCTCGGCTCCCTGCAGCCTCTGCCTCTCGGGTTCAAGCGATTCTCCTGCCTCAGCTTCCAAATAGCTGGGATTACAGGCACCCGCCACTATGCCCAGCTAATTTTTGTATTTCAAGTACAAATGGGGTTTCACCATGATAGTCAGGCCAGTCTCCAACCCCTGACCTCAGGTAATCTGCCCACTTCAGCCTCCCAAAGTGCTGGGATTAACAGGCTTGAGCCACTGCGCCTGGCCAATTTTTGTATTTTTAGTAGAGACGGGTTCACCGTGTTGGCCAGGCTGGTCTCAAACTCCTGACCTCAGGTGATCCACCCTTCTCGGCCTCCCAAAGTGCTGGGAATACAACTGTGAGCCACCTCACCCGGCCTTTTTACTTTCTTGATACTGTCATTGGATATATAAGTGTTTTTAAATTTGATGAAGCCTAGTTTATCTTTTTTCTTTGGTTGTCCTTGCTTTTGATGTCATACTTAAAACTTTGCCAAATGAAGCATCATGAAGCTTTTCCCATATGTTTTCTTCTAGGAGTTTTATAGCTTTAGCTCATAAGTTCAAGTCTTTGTTCCATTTTGAGTTTGTTTGTTTGTTTGTTTGTTTGTTTATTTATTTATTTATTTATTTTGAGATGGAATCTTTCTCTTGTCACCCAGGCTGGAGTGCAGTGGCACGATCTCAGCTCACTGCAGCCTCCGCCTTCCGGGTTCAAGCTGTTCTCCTGCCTCAGCCTCCTGAGTACCTGGGATTACAGGCGCCTGCCACCACACCCGGCTAATTTTTCTATTTTTGGTAGACAGGGTTTTACCATGTTAGCCAGGCTGGTCTCAAACTCCTGACCTCATGATCCGCCCACCTTGGCTTCCCAAAGTGCCAGGCTTACAGGTGTGAGCCACTGCTCCTGGCCCAGGTTGATTTTTATATATGATGTAAGGCAAGGGTTTGACTTCATTCTTTTGCATGTAGATATCTATTTTTTTCAGGCTGTCCTTTCCCTAGTGAATGATCTTGGTACTTTTGTCTAAAGTCAGTTGACCATATAAGTTCCATTGTTAGTTTCTGTTGGTCTGGATGTCTATTCTAACCTAGAACTGCACTGTTTTGATTACTTTGGCTTTGTAGTAAATTTTGAAATCAGGGAGTATGAGTCCTCCAAATTTGTTTTTGTTTTTCAAGATTGTTTTGACTATTCAGGGGCCCTTCAAATTCCATATGAATTTTAGGTGGATGTTTCTGTTTTTGAAATAAATGCCACTGGAATTTTGTTAGGGATTGCACTGAACCTGTAGATTACTTTGGGGAGTATTGATATTCTTAGTGATATTAAGTCTTCCAATCCATGATGAGATTTCTTTACATTTATTTAGATCTTTAATTTCTTTCAGCAGTGTTTTATACTTTTTATGTACCACAAGCCTTTCACATCCTTGGTTAAATTTATCCCTAAATATTTTATTCTTTTGAATGCTATTGTAAATGAAACTATTTTCTTAATTCCTTTTTTTTTTTATTTGAGACAGCCTTGCTCTGTCGCCCAGGCTGGAGTGCAGTGGCGTGATCTCAGCTCACTCCAACCTTCGTCTTCCAGGTTCAAGCAATTCTCGTGCATTAGCCCTCCTGAGTAGCTGGGATCTCAGGCACCCATCACCATGCCTAGCTAATTTTTGTATTTTTAGTATAAACGGAATTTCACCCTGTTGTCCAGGGTGGTCTTAAACTCCTGAACTTATGATCTACCTGCCTTGGCCTCCCAAAGTGCTGGGATTACAGGTGTGAACCAGTGTGCCTGGCTGTTTTCTTAATTTCTTTTTCAAATTGTTCATTACTAGTATATAGAAACACAATTCATTTTTGTGTATTGATTTTGTATTCTGCACCTTTGCTGAATTTGTTGATTAGCTCCTTTTTTGTGTGTGTATATGGATGGATTTTTAAAAATTTTTTTCTTTTCTTTTTTTTTTTCTTTGCATGCACTTAGAGCATATATGGATGGATTCTTTAGGATTTTGTGTATGTTACGAATATGTAATCTGTAGAGATAACTTTATTTCTTCATTTCTAATTTCGCCTACCTCCCTTCTTCCTTCCTTCTCTGTCTACAACTTCTAGTACTTTGTGGTATAAGAATGTCAAAAGTACACATCCCTTTCTTGTTGC